CCCCAAAACCCCAAAACCCCATCATAGCAATTAGATAAATTAAAAGGATAATTTTGAGTATTTTAATTTGAATCATAAAATATCATGGTGTATTTTAATTTAAAATATTTAAGATATTTACATCAAAAGCACAAGCAGCCTGATTTATCTGCAAACATTGATTTACTTCTCTATCTACCCAAATCACTTACACTTACTTTGTTTTCATCTGAGTAAGAATAAACACTCGAACTTTATTCAGATTCTGGATTGGACTATGCTTTTTTAGGTGATTGAACAAGTTATTTTTTGTCAGAGAATTTTTAAGTCTTATTCCTCTTTAATTTCTGGGATGAATGATCCACAAGTTGTTTCTTAAGTTCTCGTATCTCCTTGTCTTTCAGCTCATCTAAGAAGTGGCTTTTATTAGTCGGATTATTACCAACTAACACATCGGGGGTATTCTCCCTCATTTCTTCACTATTAAAACTAGCTTAATCGTCAACTGACATTTCACTGTCTGTTTTAAGTTTATTAGTCATCAAGTTTTTTAATTTTGACGCTATCTCAACAGCAATTTTTTCTTTGAACTACTTTTTCTTGATTTCGATTTCATTTAATGAGTCTTGAATTTACTTTTCAAAATGAACTTTAAATGCTTGCTGAAATATATCCAAACTTGCTTTCTTGAATATTTGCTTAGTCAGTGGTTTAACTTCATTCTTTTATTCTTCAATTTGAAATACTTTAATGCTTTCCTTTTGGTTGGGAAAAACATCAATCATATTGGAATTCATTATGCTTTACTCAGGCTCTACTTGCACGCTTTTAAATCCCTTCTTTTCTTCTCTTTTCCTTTTTCTGATAATTTGCCAATCAAATAATAGCTCTGTCTTTTTGAAATGCTGTTTCACATAAATTTCCTTGAAAATGTTTTTAATGTACTCATAATTGGGTTTTTATTCAAAGTCTAGACCTTTGATATATAACAAAGCATCACAGAAGCCCTCTATTACATATAATTAAAAAAGTTTATATAGAATATGAAATCGCTTAATTGAATTTCTTGAGATACTTACATGGTAGTCCATGGCATAACATACTTTCAGGTATGGCCATCTTCATATCCATAATCTAAGTCTATTTCTCATGCCTGTTTAGTGCTTTAACCCCTTACCAAGGAAGTTAACCATTTAAGAGATATATTAATACATACAAAACTGATTCTAAATCATCTCTTCTACTTTATTCTAATGTCAAAAATTAAATTCTTTAGATTTTGGATTTTACAAAAGCCTAAATGAGCATTTATAGAGGCATATCTCGCAGTTCCTGTTAAAGATAACTTTGAAGACTAAGGTATATGCATGCCTGTGTTTGGATCTCGAAATTTTTTAGCTAGTCCTAAATCTATAACATATATTGTTCCTTGTTTTTATCGAGCAGTCCCAATAGTGAAATTCTCTGGTTTTATATCTCTATGAATATAGTTATGTGAATGCATATATTCTAATCTTCTTAACTAAGTTTATTTAGCCATTAACGAATTATACCATGAGATCAGCAATTAATAGTACAGCTTAAAGAGAAAGTTTTCCACCGCATTCTTTCATTAGATCCTCAAGATTCGATCCCAATAATTCCATAGCCATTATATTATAGTCTCCTTCAGATCCATACCAAAATAGTTTAGGTATTCCAGCTATTTCCAATATTTTAAATATTTATCTTACCTCCACCTTGTAAGATTTTAAGTGTCTTTGCTTCAAATATAATCTATGGACTCTTAGCAGATTTCATTTCCTACAAATTTACTTAAAATTAATAGTACCATTTTCAGAGCACATTCAGAACCAGTATTTTGATCCTTCGCTAATTTAATAAGAATATTAGTGAATTGGAACTATTAAAATTACCTTTGAAGACAGACCCAAAAGAACCTTTACCAATTTTTTGTTTAATTATGAATCGATGATTTACTAAAACACCTTCAGGTGGATCTCTAAATAAGTCTGTTTAGTAGACTTGTTTCAATTACATTTTTATTATAGAGGCCTATCACTTTTTAATTCACATTAATAATGAATTTGATTTCTGAATATTTCACAATTTTTCGAAATCCTCAAACATGGGGTTTTGGGGTTTTGGGG